CAGCAAAGTTCAACTGCTGCGGCCAATAACGCATGTTAGGGCCTGCTAACCATTCCCTGGCCTCTTTACCCGACGTATGCTTCAACATCGTCTCCCCGTAGATGTTCCTTACTACTACATCGAACGATTGCTTGCCCACTGAGATCTTCAAGAACGTTACCATCGTCTTAAAGTCGTTCACGCCACCTTCCGCATCGTAAAAGGGATAATCTCCCGTGGTTAACAACAAGTTCTCCGGGAAGTTGGGTGTTTTATGAACGGGAGTTGGTGCTTTGTAAACGGGCGTCGGTGCTTTATGAACAGGCGTTGGTGCTTTATGAACGGGCTCCAAGTCTGCGTTGCTGTACATTCTAGAGCCGTTGTAGTAACTCCCATCGGGTCGCCTTTCGAACTTACTAGGGTCGGCGTGTGGAAACATCTTCCTAAAGGCCCTCCAGTTGGCATAATCCCGGTTATCGTGATATGGTTGCTCTTGAATATCGTTCCCAAAGGCGTCGTACATTATTATATAATGGACGTTATACCATCCGCACCTCCTATCTATCCTGAACTTTCCGAAGACCTTAACGCCGGCAACTTTCGCCTCAACAAGGCAAATCTAATCCTGTCTTACTTAGAAGGCCAAGCGAGACATTATGAAAACGTTAGAAAGAAGTATGCCAGAGCGCGCAACGTGTTACACAAGATTGCTATAACTTCTGGTTCCATGTCTGTGGCCCTTACAGGTACTGGGGTTGCTACCTCCCTTACTGGACCTGGCGTAGTCGTCGGCGTCCCATTAGCCGGCGTTGGAGCCGTCTGTGGCATCGTTTCTGCCGTCATGACAGGCATTATAAAGCAGTTGTCTGGTAAGATATCCAAACACGACACACATATAGCCATAGCAAAAGCAAAGGCCAACACCATCACCGACCTCGTATCCCAAGCCTTGCGGGACCGTAAGGTTGACGACGCGGAGTTCTCTCTGATCCTTGCGGAGGAAAGGAAGTACGGGGAACTGATGACAGGAAATAAAAAAACCATCGTGAAAGACCTCTTAGAGGAATCTCGCAAGAAGATCTACCAAGAGGTAAAAGAGGAACTACAAAGAAAACTCGCTCAGTAGATATTTCCTTTGAGAAGAACCCCGATGGATTTCAACTACGCATCTCATCTTCTAGGAATCCATTCTAACAATGGGTGGTTGGGGTCCATCTCATAGAATATCTCATAGATCGTATCAGGGTAATAAGGGATGTCTTTGTCTAGTCGACAGAACAACCACTCCGCCCTTTGCATATCCGGGACATTAGGAATGCGCTTACCCGTAATCTCAGACAAAAGATAAGGGATAGCCTTGTAATGTTTCCCTAACTTCATCTTTTTTAAGACCTTTCGCATGCTTTGTGGGGTTGGCTCTTTCAAACGGTACATAATTTCCTTCTTCACTTCGTCATCCAAGTAAACAGGATGTAAACCTTGGATGTAACCCATCCACTCCCTAAAGTATTTTATTCTCTTGTATGGGGTCTTCGTACGACCTCCGTTGGCATAATACTGTTCTCTAGTAGCATTTGACACGGCATGACGAATATTCTTACCACACTCGTAACACTG